ACTTTGAAAAGTAGAAAATCTATCTACTTTTCGGGAAAGTAGATAACCAACTTTCCCGGAAAGTAGACATTTCCCATTTTTTATGATACAAATTTCCCGTTTTCTATGATAATCTACTTCGCAAAATTAGGTAATATTTCCCCCCAAATTCGAAAATCTACTTCCCCGAAAAGTCGATAATCTACTTTCCCGAAAAGTAGAAAATCAGCAAGCTCAGGAATACCCATAATTTGATTTTCAGCAAAATTGAATTTTTGGCCAAAAACAACCAAAATTGTAAGTCTTATGCCTTACAAAATTATTGGCCAAAATATATTTTTTTCTCAGAATTGAAATTTAGGGGGTTTAACTAATTGAGTACTTTCAGAATAACACACAAACCCTAAATCACACCTTGGAAACCCATAGTTGATGAGTAATTAGCATTGAAAAATGCCAGTAAAATCTTTCAAGGTTCATTTTGGTCACTAAGTTTTCTGCAATCGAATCGTGGACTCCTTCATTTAATAGAGTGATAAGTGCTTTGTTTATTGCAGGGAGTGAGATGGAGACGGTGGTTCTTGCATCTTAATATAGACAGTCGTGACGGATGAGGTTGTTGAAATAAGCGTCCTTAATATTCTGTAAGATGATGTGATCTACGCCTCTTTTTTTTAATGAATAATAAACTTGTATTTTTTATATTTCAGTTCACGTATTCTGTATGTGTACTTGTTTCTTGTACCTGTACTGTTTTTCTGTACATTTACTACTATATCACAGGTAAAGGGTTTATGTGTGTGTGTGTATGTGTGTGTGTGTGTGGGTGGGTGTAAGTTTTCAGGCGAGTTTGTTTACATTTGCCATCAAGTGGAGGTGACGTCACGGTGTTCATTAGGGATGATGCTGGTGTCGCTGTTGTGAAGTTTTGTGTTGATGACCCAAGAATGATGCCCGTACTAGAGTCATGATACAGAGTCTTCCTGTCTGACCGTGTGTCTTTCTGTGTCTGTCTGTCTGTCTGTCTGTCTGCTGTGTATCTCCTCTCATATCCCTTTCTACCTTTCACATTCTATTTCTATCAGTCTCTCTTCCTACATCGTTTCTCCCAATCAGTCGAGGAACACACACTACCAGATCAAAACTCTTCATACCTTAAAATCACTTATCGTAGTTACCTCATTATAAACAAAGTCATGTACTTGTATATCAGTAATTCTAACTAGGGGTATATAGCTTGTACTGTGTAATAAATTAGTGGAGGGTTTTCTAGCAGTATCTGGCATTAGTTAAAACTCATTATCCACCTCCTACTTCAACCTGACACTCAACCTTCAGTCAGTTTGTCTGCAGAAGGTATATACACACACACACACATTCCCAAACGTCCAGAACCTCCCCGACTGGACGTACTGTTAAAATAATGGTGGCCAAGATGACGGGACTTTGGACTTCCCAGACACTGTTTGTGATCATTGTTGTTGCTATGGCTTCCGGCAAGGTGGTGGTGATGGGGGATGAGGGAGAGGAAGACAAATCAGAGGAATTCTTAGTGAACACTCTTATTATAAATGGAGGAGGAGCTTCTATCTATTTCCGAGGTAAGGTACATCCCTTCTTTAGTTCGTGTATTAAATTTTGAGAGTGATTGTGCGTTCCAAGTGATCTCATGTTATTATATATCATCCAAATGTATAATATTGTTCACGTATAATTGCTTAAAGTAACTATCATCATCATCAATCTTACTCACTTTACCTATTACTATCCCTATCTCTCTCACTCATTCTATCTTATCCACTCTTTTTTTTTGTCTCTCACTCACTCACTCACTCACTCACTCTTCTTCACAGGAGTACCACCCACCGCCTCCCAGCCTCGTCCCTGTCCCTACCCCTTTACTCAGGTAATGGACGAGTGTTTCTACCTGAGCAAGAAAGAAGTATCGTGGGATAGATCTCTCCAGCATTGTCGTGGGATGGGTGCCTACCTGGCCATACCGAGACACCTGTATGCCCTCAACAGCTTCATCATACGTACTGAGAGTGAGTTGACACCTGCTATGGCACTTGAGATTGAGTGTGTTGTCATGTGCAGTCTCTTATAATATGCATGAAGGTGTGTGTGTGTGTGTGTGTATTTATAGGTTAGTTTAGGTGAGATGAGGTTAGGTTAGGTTAGGTTAGGTTAGGTTAGGTTAGGTTAGGTTAGGTTAGGTTAGGATAGGAGAGGATAGGATTCACTAAGACTTATAACCATGCATTACCACTCACCATTATCCATCTCCGTAGAGCTGGAGAATGGCTACTACGTGCAGGTTTGGCTCGGAGGCAAGAAACAAGCAGACGGAAGGTGGGCTTGGCTGAATGAAGAGACACTCAATGAAGAAGACTGGAGCAGCAAACACTCGGAAACGTCGCCAGGGAGTGACTGTCTCTACTGTATGAACATCCCCAACGTCAATGACCAGCCTCTCCTTAGCGGCAACTGTAACGCTACCATGAGATTTGTGTGTCAAGTGAAGTTGGAAAATGAGTAGTAGAGTAATCTTTGGGGGATAATGGCTTAACTGGATAAGAAAGGGTTTAAAACCTTTAGGTGATGGTTTAACTGGATATGAAGGGGTTTAATACCTTTAGGATCATGGTTTAGCACCTCTATGATTATGAATTAACTAGATGAATGGGTTTGTAACACCCTTAGCATGATGGTTTATCTAGATTAGAGGGGGTTTAACATTTCTTGGATAATAATAGTTTATAATTTAACATCTTAAGGATATCTAACAGGATAATAGTTTAACAAGAGGATGTACGTTGAGTATAATGTTGTTTCCCCCTTAAGAATAATGGGCTTTAATTACTCAAAGATAATAGTATAGCACTTTAGAAATGAAAGACAAACTAAGACCCAAGAAAGCTTAAATTTTAGTTTAACTCATTAATTACATATTGTTTAAGCTAGGTCTGGTTAGATTACTGCATGTTTCATTAAGTTCGACTAGTTATATTAGGTCAAATTAAAGTATGTTACATCAGGTTGGGTTAAATTAGGTAGTTCATGTTAACTAACAACTTGAGAAGATTTATCTATAGAAGGCAAATGGTCTCCCATAGTCCATGAAAAGCCGAAATTGTTTGAGAGGATTTTTTTCGTTATATTATTATTCAATTGTTTCCACCCTGATCATGATGCACTGTCACGCTCTACATCCTCATATTGCCAATGTTTACATCCAGGGCATTTTGTTTCATATGGAGGAATGCTTCTGTGGTGGGTTAATGGGTTGTGGGTTAATTAGGTTAGGTAGGTTAAGTTTGTTACATTAACTAGGTTAGTTCAGGATAGCTAGGTCAGGCTTAGCAGCTTGGTTAATCTGTATGGTCTACTTGGTTTCTACTAAATACAGTACAAGCTTGAGACTTGATCCAAAACATGTAACTATGAGCTTATTCTGTTGCCAAGTGCCAGAAAGTACTCCCACCCTATCAGATTAATAAAGGTTTTCCTTATTTACCTCTATGTATTTTATGCCCTTTATTATTATTATTATTATTATTATTATTATTATTATTATTATTATTATTATTATTACTAGGAAGAAAGCGTTGTGACAGCACCAAGTCTGAATGTGATCTTCAAGACCAGGCTTAACCATCACTGGTGTAGGTACAGAGTCAGATACATTATTGAGCCAGTACATACCCAGCCAGTACAGTACTTACTGTTACGAGTTGGGGATTTAGAATATAGTTAAAAGTCTACCCAGATCCCAACAGGCAACAACAACAAAAAAAACAAAGACAATCGGACTATAAAAGGGTAGACAAAGGATGCGAGTTTTTGTTGTGTATAATAAAGTACCATAAATCCCTTAACAAAATAATCAGCTTCCTATAAATTACCCTTAACCATACTTAACCTAACATTAACAGTATATACATATTTATACAGCATACAATAATATGAAGCAAGTGGACGTGGGGGAGGCAATACAAGATTACAAATACTTAAGTGCGGAGCTGAGATGGTAGAAGACGGTAGGTAGTCACTGTGCCGTAGGTTTAGAGGATAGGTGATCCTGTGGTCACTTCCCAGAGTGTAGTGTTCTCTCCTCGAATTGGAGCTCACTAAGAAGACTTGGAGGAAGTGACGCAACAACCAGGATATGGAGAAGGGAAACCCCGGAGTGTTAACTAAGACGAGTCATACTCGTGTCTCGTCCCTAGATGGCGTTGCTCGTGGTGCTGGGTAGGTAGATCATGACAATCGGTGGAGGGGTTCGTAACATTACCAACAGTGCATAACGGAGACGTGGCTGACATTCTTAGCGGCTAATGAGATTAGTGGCGAAGAGGATAAAGTAACTGAAGGCAAGAGATATTTATTCAGTAAAATTGTCATGCAGGTTTACAGTTGGGTAGACATGAATATAAACTATGCAGTTATACAGCTTAGTATGAATATACCTGTAAATGATATAGTGTACAGTAAGTATACGGTGCATGTACAGTAGGCCTTGTGAGTATAGTTTCGTATGTGGCTATACAGTGCCGGACAATTTGAGCAAGGAAAGCCAACTCAGTTAAGGTCATACAAATTCATATTGGTTCAACACATAGAGTACATAGATAGTATAGGTGTATAAACAGTGCATATGGAGAGAGAAAAATGGAGCCTCATTTACTTTTACCATAGTTATCCCTTTAATATCGTCGAGGATGTTACTATAATAGAAAATGTATTTTAACGCTTTCTCAGGGTAGACATTAGTATTGTAGGTAATGAAACCAGACATCTTGTCAACACAGATTTGTATCTTTCACAATTTTTAATGTAATTGGACTAGTGTATTACTAAATTTATTACGCATTTAAAGACCTTCGTTATTGAAGTGCAGTCATAACATTATAACAACAACGAAGACATATTGAGCATTTAGTTTACAGCGTACAAGTCGAATAGATATTTATGGGTAATTTTGATACAACACAACATAATACCTTTACTAAAGCAGTACCTTCAACATACAATATAATTAAATGTAATACCTATATAATACAACATCCAGGCAACGATAGATTTGGTATGAGAAAAATACAGCGAGCGTTTTTAATACAGCAACAACAGTAAATACAGTAACAGAATGCAAACATGATGACACAAAATATACACAAGAATGACAAGAGTACAAATTATCGTCTAATACAATTAACTTGACACAGACAAAAAAAAACCATGGAATGAAGAAAAAAATCACTCACAGTTGTAAGATAAGCAAGTCTTTGTAAATTAAATGCAGTGTGATAAGTTCTAGGCTTAGGATAATTATGCACTTGCATATGTACATATGCAAACACATATTTAAGCCATTTTTGAGCTAAAGTGCATATTCATGTTTTTTTGTTTTATTAGGCATATATTTGGAAAATTCCAAAATATTATAAAACATTCTTCAACCTCAAGGGTCAAAAAATTCGCGAGCATACAAGAAACGCCGGGTCAGAAATTACTGATATTTGAAATATATATGTACATTTTATTCACTAATACAAAATCGAAAATACGCGATTTTGTTTTAGTGTCATAATATCTAAAAGGAACATACTTAAGTGACGTTTATATAGCTCAACATTAGGCTGTGGTTAGCTAGGCCGTGATTGGCTGGTCAGTGGACATGAACTGTACGTGATGGGTTCGTGTTCAGCCAGGCAGGATATAGATGCACAGGCTCCACCAGTTCCCTCCTGACACTCTTTTGTTCTTCTATTTTCTTAAAAAGAAAATACTTTTTTTCAGTATTGTTGAATAAATTACTTTATGTCAGTATATTGTTTTTTGTATATAATCCTTCTTTAAAAAATCCTACATCGGCGACATCCTGTCTGGGAAAGTAAATTTAATGAGAAAATGTACAGAAAGGGAGTTATTAACTTAGTAGTTACTATTTATTAACATATTTTAAAGTGCATATTTAAGTGCATATTTTCTCAGTTTTTACTGCATATTTGCATGAATATTTAGCCATTTTTAAATGCATAATTATCCTAATCCTAGATGAGTAATTAGTATTGAAAAATGTCAGTAAAATCTTTCAAGGGTCATTTTGGCCACTAATTACTTTGCAATCGAATCGTGGACCATATAGGAATATATAGCAAGCTCAGGAGTACCCATACGGTGATTTTCAGCAAAATCTAATTTTTGGCCAAAAATGTAAGTCTTACACCTTGCAAAATTTTTGACCAAAATAAAAAATTTTCTCAGAATTAAAATTTAAGGGGTTTAGCTAATTAAGTACTTTCAGAATAACACACAAACCCTAAATCACACCTCGGAAACCCATAGTTGAGTAATTGTGTGAACTAACAACAAGCATATGATGTGAGTTGTACAAATGAGTGTAACTAAAAATAAATAGGTATAGTGTAAAATTAGATGGTCATATATATAAATCTGGGCAAGAGAAAGTGATCTCCTTCAGTGAGTGAGTTGATAAGTTCTAAAAGGCTTGGGAAAATATGGCGACAATATTTGAAGACAAATCTATATTGGAAATGAATTTTAGATTCGAACTAATAGAGTGATATTGATGCTTGGTTCTGGTGTGGTCGATTTTTATTTAGTTAGTTAGTTAGTTAGTTAGTTAGTTAGTTAGTTCGTTAGTTCGTTCGTTCGTTCGTTCGTTCGTTCGTTCGTTCGTTCGTTCGTTCGTTCGTTCGTTCGTTAGTTCGTTAGTTAGTTAGTTAGTTAGTTAGTTAGTTAGTTAGTTAGTTAGTTAGTTAGTTAGTTAGTTAGTTAGTTAGTTAGTTAGTATTTTTGTGATCTGAGAGAGTGATAGAGAGATTCAAAGCTTCCTATGGCTATATTTACCTGCAAGTGGGGTTGGTCTCTTGAAAAGGCCTTGTGTAAAATTTATCACCGTTTTAAAGCCGAAGAGTTGATGAATGTCGTTTAAGGCGACCGGACCAAGCAATCCCGGATCTATCTCTCTCTCTCTCTCTCTCTCTCTCTCTCTCTCTCTCTCTCTCTCTCAATTCACTTGTTTTTTATATAACATTGAAAAATCTATCTGCATTTGTTTTCTAATAAATTGGTACAAGAAAACGGAGATGTGGCGACCGAATTTATACATCACTCGTCTCCTGCCGAAAGATTGATGCTACGTCTCGCCCTCAGTCCACCCAAGTACATTGATTTTACAGTTTGTGAAGTAAGGGCGGTCGAGTGCAGTACCAACCACACTACTTCCTTGTGTACCGAAAAAAAGAAAAGGTGTTAGTTTCGCCTCACATCCCTCACACACCTGTAGTCTCTTACACCGCACTGTCCCTTAAGAAATTAAACACTATACAGCAGGACCATTTAATATGCGAGTCTCTACTGCTCCCTTTCTCTTGTAATTATGTAGGGTGTCAACAGTGCCCTCTGTTTACTGTGGTAAGCTTCCCCATCCTCACGGCACGCTTTCCTTCCTTCCTTCTGTCCTTCCTTCTATCCCTTCCTTCCTCCTTCTATCCCTTCCTCCCTCCCTACTTCTATTCTTCCCCTCCCTCCCTCCCCCCTCCCTCCTTCTATCCTTCCCTCCCACCCCTTCTCCTCCCCACACTCCCTCCCGCACTCGAGCACAGTACTGTCATGTTTGTTGTGACAGTAATTAATATGATCATGCGAGGTCTGTCAGTGGTAGAGCAATTACACATAACTTGCGGCTGGTTGTTGAGAGAGAGAGACATACATACAAACATACATACATACAAACATACATACATACAAACATACATATATACGTATATACATACATACATACATACATACATACCTATATACATACATAATAATAATATTGGTTGCCCCTCGTGTAACAAGGATGGCCGGTCCTAGGGACACCTAGGCGTGAATTTGTTTAAGGTGTAGAAGCTGTCGCCAACACAACAACCACATCCTGAGTTAACGAGTTGCATGACCCAGTGTCAAGGAATAGTCCCAGAAGACCGGACAACTCGCCAACTGCACTGGCTAACCATTACCCCGGAACACGATCCGCAAATCGATTAACATCCAGGTCCCCAATTACTGCTGGGTAGACAGAGGCAAATGGCGTAAAAAAAACTTGCCCAAAGTTTCACCCTGCCCGGGGATCGAACCGGGTCCGCTGGTTTGCGAGGCGAGCATGCTGACCATTACATCACAGGTCGCCATACATACATACATACACATAAACATTGTCATCAGATCATCACTATTATCTTGCCGTGTGTGTGTGTGTGTGTGTGTGTGCGCGAGTCTTTCACGATCTCTCTCTCTGTTCACTTTATTTACTGTCTCATTCACTATTTCAGTCGTTTCTCTGTCTCTCGTTGTCTTCCTGATCTCAAAAGTCATCCAGCACAGTAGGAGAACAAGAGATGCACTTCCCTGAGACATCTCTGGATTGGCTCCAAGTAGGTGACGTCATCGGATTTCGTCGATGATGATAAGCCATTATGTAAATGACGTCATCATGCTGCGTCGAC